TTCGAGTTTTTAAATTTGCATTGATTTTCTCATAGTATGTGATAAGGATATTATAATGATATAATAAAATGCAGGGAAAAGAAAAGAAGAAAAAAAAAAAAAGAAGAAAATTAAGTTTCCAACAAACCAATCGAAAAGTACGTAACTCAAACTATCTGCTATGTTGCTTATACACAAACATACAAACACATAGACAAACTATGTGTCTGCAATGCCCGGAATTCATCGCTTAAATGCTCAGTCAAACAATTGAAAAGTATGACTGAAAGATGGTAAAAGTTTTATTGCAATGATTCCTTAATGTCAACAAATTGATATAACGACGGCAGTGCACAACACTGAACAACAAGTTTCTACTTTTCTATCTCTTCTTTTTTTTTTTTTTTTTTTTTTTATCTTTCCATTCTGGCTTTCTTTATATTTGAACCTCCCTTTCCCCCCCCCACCGTTCTCGATGGGGTGTCATCATCATCCACAATAGATAAATGGGAAAAGAGCAAAAACGCAAAAGAGAAAAAAAAAAAGAAGCAAGAACAGCTAAATAAAAAAAAAAGGCAAAACTAAGCACGCATACACACAAACACATTTATACTAAAGTAGAGGGAACTTTTTCATATTTTTCCGCCTGACAAAGTCGTTGTACTGCAATATTCCACATTTATATGCGTAAATGTGTCAGTATATATTTGCGCACATATACATATATATATATATATATATATATATATATATATATATATATATACGCATATGCATTTATGTACCTATATGAATGGATTGAGTGCATTTTCGTTCCACTTACCAATTCCATATATACTTTCATCTTTTCATAATGCTCCTCTACGGCGTTGGCTTTGGCTTGAAGTGCGTTTTGTTTTTGTAATAGTTTTATGGGTGAAGTGCACTCAGGACGCCTGACAAATAATATTATACAAAAAAAAAAATAAAAAAAAACGACGAGCAAGTAAAAATGTTTTGAAAACTTTTCAGATAAAAAGGGAATTAAAGATAAACTAAAAAAAAAAAATAAAATGAAAAAAAAAAATAAATAAATAAATAAATAAATATAAAATATTACATTTTTGTTATTTTTTAATAATA